TTATTTATTTATTTATTTATTTATTTTTTGTGGCCGGTTCAGCCTGCCCTGTGGTGCTGGGGATCAAACCTCGATCCCTGCACGTGCCTAAGCTTGCCTAATCATGCCCTTTACACTGCTGAGCTATCTCGTGGGCCCTGAACAGAGATTTCTGTCAACACTGTACTTACATGCATTTGCCCACTGAACTTCTGTGCTACAGATCCAGGGTTCTTTCTTTTCTGGTCTGAAAGGCTTCTCTGCTTATTTTCAACAATTCGTTTTCTTCTAAGCGTAGAATCTTAAACAAATGTCAGCACAAGGTCAGGAATTACTCGAGTATGTAACAGGCATCCAATGAAAACTTCCGAGTCACCTTTACATATCACAGACAGCTCTTGGCCCACGGTCAACACACTTTTCCCGAGTTCCTGCTACCGCACGGCAGTTACAAGGATTTGCTCAATGGAATCCCTGCTTCTGCGTGGCTCCTAAGTTAGAGGTCTGACCTCTGAGCCGTGGTCCTGGAACACCAGGAAGACAGGGCAGGAAGCCAGTGGCGCGCGAGCGGTGTGTCAGAATTCCAATTTGGACTTACTGTCTAGAAACTGAACTTTTACTGATACAATGTCTGACGGCGACACTCTTGTTACACAGCGAACAGACTGACTGCTGCAGAGAGCATATACTGAACCTGATTTCTGAAGGAAGAAAAGTCCCACATACAGCAGCCTGGCAGCGGCACCGTCAGTCATTGGTGTCTCTTCTTTTCCCTCCCCTTCCCTCCATCCCTTTCCTTCCCCATCCTCTTTTTTTCTTTCCTTTTCTTCCTTTTCTCTGTCCCTCCCTCCCTCCTCACCCTTCCTTTTCTTGGCACTGAGGACTGAATCAGGACCTCATGCATGCTAGGCAAGTGCTGCGCCACAGGGCTGCCCACCAGCCTCCCTGTTGTGGAGACAGCGAGGGTCTAGTTACACAGTTCAGATGGCCCTTGAATTCGTTTGCAGCCAGGCTAGTCTCACAGTTACAGAGCTTCTCTGCCTCAGGCTCCTGAGTTCTAGCATCACAGGCATGGTCCACTACGCCCAGGGAGCCTTTTACGAATAATAAAAAAAAAAAGTTGTGTGGACATAAGATCTTGCTAAGTTTCCCAGGCTTGCCTCAAACTTGCCGTGCTCCCGCCTCAGCCTGAGGTTAGCCGAGGCTGCGACTGGGTGCTTCTGCGCCTGGCTTCGTTAAGGCTTTCTGTCATGTGCTGAGACCTACGTGCGCTCAGGTAGGAGGATTTACACGTCTTGCAGTACCTAAGCAAGTTCTCATGCAGGTGGAAACATGACGCTTTTTAGGGCTCTCCATGTCGTATTTACGGTGCATGGTGGATAAATGATGTTTATTATTTTAAAATATTTTTTGTATAATTTTAATTGCAATATCCTTACAATATACAGCATAATAGGTGAATAGAAAAATGCTAGAGCTGGCATCTTTTAATTATAAATATCTTACCACATAATGATAGCAATAATATAACTGTATATGTAATGAAGTGCCATAAATTTGAAAATTATCCAAAAAACTAACATAAATCTTACCTTAAATATACACTGTGCCCTGAAATATTGGCAGGTGATATATGGAATTCTCCTAACTGATGACATTTCAGAGCTAGCATTCAGAGCATTATTAGTAACATTTGAGAACAAAAGTACTTTGTATATAGTTAATACATAAAATTATTTTAACAGTATTAAATGTAACAACATTTAATATTTATTTTAAAAGATTTTACTTCATCTTTCTGTGATACTTAAAATTTTCTTGGGCAAATTAACACAATAATGCATGTGTATGCACGTATATATATCTCAAATTTTAAAAAA